GCCTTTCACATTTCTTATAAGTCTCTTAGTGATGAATTCTGAGCTTTTATTTTGTTGACAGGTTTTCTGTGGGGGGAGACGGGTATATATATATATATATTTAAGTTGGAATGTTTTTTGTTTTTTTGAAATATATTTTATTGATTTTTTACAGAGAGGAAGGTAGAGGGATAGAGAGTTGGAAACATCAGATGAGAGAGAAACATTGATCAGCTACCTCCTGCACAACCCCAACTGGGAATGTGCCCACAACCAAGGTACAGCCCTTGACCGGAATCGAACCTGGGACCCTTTAGTCCCCAGGCCGACGCACTATCCACTGAGCCAAACTGGTTAGGGCTGATAATGTTCTTAATGGCATTTTATTTTCTGGTTCAGAATTCAGTACAGGATCATGTACTCCATGTTGTTTTTGTCTTTTCTCCTCATCTTTATCTTCAGTGTTTCATAACATTGAAATTTTTGGAGATGTTAGGCCATTTATTTTGTAGAATTTCCCTCAGTTTTTTTTCTCTTTTTTTTTGATATTTCCTCACGATTTGATTCAATTTATGCATTTTTTTTGGCAGGAAAAATACAGAAATAATATTGTGCGCTTCCCAGGATATTGCACCAGGAGTCACATGTTGTCATTTTGTCCCATTATTTGTAATGTTAACTCTGCAGTGTGGTGTCTGTTAGGTTTCTCTAACTGTAAAGTTACAATTTTTGTGGGAAGGTTCTTTGAATCTAGGTAAAGATTAATTTCCTTATCAGTCTTTTCCGTTAATGATCTTTGTCTCAATAAATAGTAGTTGATGTTCTTTTGCTTTTTTTTTTTTTAAATATATTTTATTGATTTTTTACAGAGAGGAAAGGAGAGAGATAGAGAGTCAGAAACATCAATGAGAGAGAAACATCGATCAGCTGCCTCCTGCACATATCCTACTGGGGATGTGCCCGCAACCCAGGTACATGCCCTTGACCGGAATCGAACCTGGGACCTTTCAGTCCGCAGGCCGACGCTCTATCCACTGAGCCAAACCGGTTTTGGCAGTAGTTGATGTTCTTAAATTTGTCCTGAATTGTTCAGAGACTTTAAGACTACAGAGAAATCAGGTAAAATACAGACTAAGCATTGGTCACTAAGTTAGAAAGTGGAGTAGGACTACATTGTAATTATTACATTGCATTTATTTATTGATAAGTTACGTGAGAAAAATGAGTTCTGGTTAGATTTGACCTTAAGCTTTTACCAGTAGTATGCTTTAAATTTTATTTGATTATTTTATTTGTTTATTATGTTAATCTTTATTTGAGAATATTTTTTCATTGATTTTTTTTTTTAAAGAGTGAAAGTTATGGAAGGCAAGGCAGAGGGTGGGAGAAAGAGACATCAGTTGCATTGCATTCCAAGTGGGGCCCAAGATAGAACCTGCAACCCACACTCTAACCACTGAGAAACACTGGCCAGGGCTGCTTTTTTAAAAACTTTAAATACTTAATTTATAAGTATTTAAGTGTTTAAAAGAAAAGATAATACATGTTATCTTTTATCCAAAAGGCATCCCAAATGATTCAAATTGGATTCAGACAGTATTCAAACTGGAATTTTCTTAGTAAAGTGAAAGTTCTAATTTGCTTTATGTATATTCTTTTTGAAAAAACTGTTTGTTCCTATAGCTCCTATGATGCTTAAGTCAAATTTTACAAGTCTGTGAGTCAAGCATTCACTGTGCAAAAGTGTTTAATAATTTCTTCTGAAAATCCATTATTACCGTTAATATCTTTTTCCAAGTCCATATTAACCTTAAGAAAACAGTTTCAGCCGTGGCCGGTTTGGCTCAGTGGATGGAGCGTCGGCCTGCCGGATGAA